TTAAGATAGTTTTGTGGTGAAAAGATGGCTTTACCTGCTCAGGACAAGCCTTGTTTCTTTGCCATGAATTATAGTCTTGATATAAAGAGTGAAGAGATTTACAGATTTTAGGTGCTGGGACTTTCTCTTGAATTATCCTAACTCGAGGTGCAATGATAGGCTTCATGAGAAATACTTCCTGTTGCATAATAAAAAGAAAATTATCACTTAATAGCAGTTCCTCGGCTTTCTAAATCTTTCATCCCAAAATGTGTTTTGAATTGCAAGCAGACGTCATGGTATCTGAGATCAAATCATGTGATAAGCGTGTGGGATAATTTCATGGAATCACAACATGAATTAACTTTTCCGATGAACATGCCCCATTACTTCTTTTGCAACTGATCATATCTTCTCTCACGTACGTCATGACTGTAAATGCATATTACCCATTTATATTTATGACAATCAAAAGTGGTTCACAGCGGAAGTAAACTAGTACTGTTAGCGCAGCCTGTTCTCACACTGTTTAGCCCCTACTGTATGCTGATTGTTAGGCCTGGCTGTCCAGACTCTGACTCTATGTTCTGAACATTAACTCTATCTGTATGCTCTGTTTACTATGTCATGTACACTAGAATTGTTAACCCCCATTGCCCAGGCAATTAACTCTGTCTGTTGACCCTATCTGTACACACTGACTGTATACTCAGTTAACAGTCAGTACTCTCTGTTCACGCAAATTGTTAACTCTGATAACCCTGCCCGTATGCTCTTCCTGTTACCCTTGTCTGTCCCTTTGACAGTTAAACTGTTCACCCTGCCCGTATACTATTACTGTTAACCCTGCCTGTATGCTCTGTTCTTGCTGTTACCCTGCCTGTATGCTCTGTTGACCCTGCCTGTATGTTCTTGCTGTTAACCCTGCCTGTGTTGCTTTTCTGTTAACCCCTGCCTGTATGTTCTTACTGTTAAATCTGTCTGTATGTTCTTGCTGTTAACCTTGCCTGTATGTTCTTGCTGTTAACCTCTGTCTAAATGTTTCTTGTTTGTTAACCTGTTAAACCTGTGTATGTTCCCCTGCCTGTATGTTCTGTTAACCCTGCCTGTATGTTCCCTTGTATGTTCTGTTAAATCTGTCTGTATGTTCTTGCTGTTAACCTTGCCTGTATGTTCTTGCTGTTAACCCTGCCTGTATGTTCTTGCTGTTAAATCTGTTCTTGCTGTTAAATCTGTCTGTATGTTCTTACTGTTAACCCTGCCTGTATGTTCTTGCTGTTAACCCTGCCTGTATGTTCTTGCTGTTAAATCTGTCTGTATGTTCTTGCTGTTAACCTTGCCTGTATGTTCTTGCTGTTAACCTTGCCTGTATGTTCTTGCTGTTAAATCTGTATGTTCTTGCTGTTAACCCTGCCTGTATGTTCTTGCTGTTACATCTGTCTGTATGTTCTTACTGTTAACCTTGCCTGTATGTTCTTGCTGTTAACCTGCCTGCCTGTATGTTCTTTCTTGCTGTTAACCCTGTCTGTATGTTCTTGTCTGTTAAACTGTTCTTTGTCTGTATGTTCTTGCTGTTAACCTTGCCTGTGTTAACTGTTAACCTTGCCTCTGCCTGTATGTTCTTGCTGTTAAATCTGTCTGTTGTTCTTGTTAAATTGCCTGTTCTTATCTGTATGTTCTTGCTGTTAACCTGTTCTTGCTGTGTATGTTCTTGTTAAATCTGTCTGTAGGCTGTATGTTCTTGCTGTTAACTTGCCTGTATGTTCTTGCTGTTAAATCTGTCTGTATGTTCTTGCTGTTAACCCTGCCTGTATGTTCTTGCTGTTAAATCTGTCTGTATGTTCTTGCTGTTAACCTTGCCTGTATGTTCTTGCTGTTAACCCTGCCCCTATGTTCTTACTGTCACTCTTGTCTGAACCCTTTCTGTGTGCTTTGTTAACCTGTATGTATGCTCTTACTGTTGACCCTGTCTGTACCCTTTGACTGTTGACCTTGTCTGTATTCTCTGACTGTTACTCATACCTGTATGATCTGACTGTTAACCATACCTGTATGATCTGACTGTTAACCATACCTGTATGATCTGACTGTTACTCATACCTGTATGATCTGACTGTTACTCATACCTGTATGTTCTTGCTGTATGATCTTACTGTTAACTGTCTGTATGTTCTTGCTGTTACCTGTGTATGATCTGACTGTTAACCATACCTGTATGATCTGACTGTTAATCCTGTCTCTGTCTGCACGCTCTTGTATGATCTGACTGTTAACCATACCTGTATGTTCTTGCTGTTAAATCTGTCTCTGACTGTTAATCCTGTCTGTGTCTTGCTCTTAATGTTAACCATACCTGTATGCTCTCTGACTGTTAATCCTGTCCCTGTGTATGATCTGACTGTTAACCATACCTGTATGCTCTGACTGTTAATCATACCTGTATGTACTGACTGTTAACCATACCTGTATGATCTGACTGTTAACCATACCTGTATGATCTGACTGTTAACCATACCTGTATGCTCTGACTGTTAATCCTGTCTGTATGCTCTGACTGGTAACCATACCTGTATGCTCTGACTGTTAATCCTGTCTGTATGCTCTTAATGGTAACCATACCTGTATGCTCTGACTGTTAATCCTGTCTGTATGCTCTGACTGTTAACCATACCTGTATGATCTGACTGTTAACCATACCTTTATCCATACCTGTATGACTGTTAATCCTGTCTGTATGCTCTTAATGGTAACCATACCTGTATGATCTGACTGTTAATCCTGTCTGTATGCTCTTAATGGTAACCATGTCAGCACCCTTTGACTGTTAATCATGTGAACCATGTATGCTTTGTGAATACAAAAGTTAACAGACTGTTAACTGGACAATATGCATAACACTGTTAACCATGTCTGTGTACTTTGTTAACACTGGCAGTAGTATTAAGACCTATTACCGTGTCTGAATGCTCAGCCAGTAACCATGGATAGCTCTGACTATATGCCTAAACTGTTTATCTCTCGTATGTTGGGGACAGTTCTAGATTTCATACAAAGAGATGTCTAGTCATACATAACAGGCTAAAGTGAATCTAATTTAAATTCTTTGTTTTAGAGTGCCACTGGGAGAATTTAACACCATACTGGTCGAGTTGAAAACACATCCCATGGTCTTAAGGTGTACTTTTAAACAGTTTCAGTTATAATTAATAATTATGGTTTCCATGGTTTCCAATTACTAACACAACACACATTAATCATAAACATGTGGCAACATGCTTCATTTCACTTATATGCTTACAAAGCGAAATCCATCCCATTGCATTCCACAATTATTATCCTTGTATAAAAGAGTTAAGAAAAAAAGGCATCTGTATGAAGAGACTTAGTGCAGATGTTAGTGAGTATTTATTATTTTCTCTGGAACATATCACTGAAAAAGATGGTGCATGTGCAGGCCTACCAAAGAAAACTTTGTCACTGTGCAGAAAAACGCAGAAAAGCCCACATTAATCGTGGAAGTAGCAACATAAACATAATACCTCGCTACTGAAACAGTAAAAACGGCAACTTTAAATCGCTAAAACTGCATAAAAACACGCATGCGCACATGGAAGAGGAAGTCTCGGCCGCATGTTGACATTTTCCAGCTTGGACAGAAGATACATTCCCTTTTTAAGTAATTCTGTTGTGTTATTTGGCATTTATCATCATGATAGTTGTGTGCACACTTGTTTAGTGTACTTTCCATTCGTCTGAAATGATTGACAGCAATTATTTCGACATATATAATACTTTTTCTACGCGAGGCCATTCACAGTTGCTCGGAAATTGGACAGAAGTGAGGATCGCAATGCGCATGCACAGTAGAGGTCAAAGTTTGCTGATTATATAAATGTTGCAGTTTCCTAGTCTTTCGTTGCAGTTTTTACTGTTTCAGTAGTGAGGTATTATGTTTATGTTGCTATTTCCACGATTAATGTGGGCTTTTCTGCGTTTTTCTGCACAGTGGCAAAGTTTTCTTTGGTAGGCCTGATGTGGTAGTTCACAATGACAACCAAAGAAAGACTTTCAATCTGATTTCAAAGATGAGCATTTCGAATGATACATCAAAGAGTGAGAAGATGACTGATGTCTTTGCTTTATTTAGAGGACCCAAGAGCTTTACATGCTGAGATGCTAACATATATCTCATGGTTGGTTATACCCAAAACATACAGACAAGACATGTTCAAGTACAGACCAAGGGGAATAACTTGGGTATGAACAGTAACCTTTCAAAACACTCATAAAATATACAAGATTCACATAGCCACAGTTTCAGACTGATGTGAATTCTTATATTGAGTCATTCAACGTTAAGAAATGCTGGCTTAAAGTCAGTGCGCAGAGTCAAAGGGCTGTTTGTTTTAGGTTTTCCAGGTGCAAAACACAGGCTACCTAGCACCTGAAGCACCCCAACTGATCTCCATTCCATTTAATTTTCGAACAATCAGAATAACAATCTCGGACTGAAACAGCTGATTTGACACAATCAGAATAACAATCTCGGACTGAACCAACTGACTTGACACAATCAGAATAACAATCTCGGACTGAAACAGCTGATTTGACACAATCAGAATATCAATCTCGGACTGAAACAGCTGATTTGACACAATCAGAATATCAATCTTGGACTGAAACATATTCTTCAATGTGTAATATATTCTTAGATTAGTACAGTACTTGATGAGGTTATAACAAGGTTGGTTACAAACTACTGTTGATATGATTATTCAAAACTACCTACAGACAGTGAGTGAGACAGATAGTTCTGGTGGTTATCAAATCAGCTGTACTACAAAGTTATTGACAACAAAGCTTGAATAAGAATGTCGTCCTGCATTGCTTAATGTTTAACTTTAATATTCTCAAATTTTTCTGCAATAAATACATTATGTTTATTTCCTAATTGACTATATGTACATATTCCATTCATGTAACCATGGCAACCACTTTAACACACTACTTGCTATACTTACAGTTGAAATCTTCACAAAGCATAGACGACCTCATTGCTGTCATTGCCATTGCTGATGTTTGGTCCATCCATATCTCCCAGGTCAGGCACCATGTCTTCAATGTGTTGTTGTTTCTTGCTGTCAGACATGCCTGCCAACACAGAGGTGTGTTTTCTCAGCTTTACCATCTATACCACACTAACTGGCTTATGCAGTTAGCCCTGCAACTGCCCATGAAAGGACCTCTTATAAACTCCTTTGTAACATTCTAAAACCTCTGGGGTCTGATCCATCAGTTTCCGATATCCAAACCAAGCAAGTATCAAATGTCTCCAGTAAGGGAACAAGAAACTTTCAGACACATATTCTCTGTGAAAATGCAATTAACCTGAAATGTGCAAATATGGAAGGAATTTTACATTCATGACTAGGATTGGTTTGGCTGGTGTTTAACGCTACACTCAGCAATATTCCAGCTATATCATATGGTGGTGGTCTGCAAATAACTGAGTCTGAACCAGACAATCCAGTGATCTACATTATGATCAATGATCTACGCAGTTGGGATACAATGATATGTGTCAACCAAGTCAGCGAGCCTGACCACCCGATCCAGTTAGTCACCTCTTATGACAAGCATGGTGAGTGAGGACCAATTCTAACTCGGTACTTCTAGGGTTACATTTAGTAATTCATTACTAATGTTATTTTTATATTAACCTATATCTAATTTAAAAATTGGATCCCATTTTGAAATGTGATTCACAAGCAAGATGTCAGAGCTCCAGATAAGATTTAGCTCATGTGGGTACTGTACCCACTGTAATTTTTTGGAGTGGGTATTATGAATTTTGAGTGGGTATTTCATTTTCCACTACCCACTGCTTTCAAATATGTGCGTATTTCAGTCATATTACTCACCTAAGTATTATGTCATTGAGTAAGTTTACTAAGCAGGTATGTTCTGCCTTATCTAATCAAAAGCAAGTTAAATATAATGGACATGATTTCATAAAAAAGCACTCATCCTATACTGACAGTACAACACTAGTCCTATACTAACAGTACAACTTGATAGCAATCGATGTCTTTTTCATTACGCAAGCAATTTTCATAAATATATTCCGTACGCATTTGTTTTAAACTTTTTGCGTATCCAACATTTTAAATGCGTAATGAGTGCGCTAACAATTATTTTCAATGTAATTGGAAATTTCATTTCTATGCATATTTTACCGGATACGCCAAGTTCGTCCAATTTTCAGCTTATCTGGGCCTCTGAGATGTGATATCATAATGAACTGTAAACTGAATTTGATGAAAACAAAATGTGGTTATATTCAGTAGATATATAAGATGAAAGATGATAATGTTCGTACACTGTAGCAAATCCTAATAATGCAAGTGAGTCATGCTCTGTATGACAAATGCCCTGAATCTCAAAGTGGTACTGAAAACTGTAACCTTGAATCCAGCAATGTGTCAAGATCTAGGCACAGTATGTAAGCCTACCTGCATCAGGTTTGTCCATGGCTGGCAGTCCCATCGGCTCTAGATCATTGAGTGTCCGGCCATTTTGCATCGGTGCATCTCGCTTGTGCTTCCTCTTCTTCTTCTTGTCTTTGTACTTGGTGTTGACAACAGAGTCCAGTACAGATGTGTCGCCTATCAAGGAATCTGTATCTCCATTTTCTGTTATGCTCTTGTTTGATGGAGGCAGCTTAATTTTCCGCTCTTTCCGGTCTACATTGAAGAATGTATATATCATCCTTCACAAATTTTATCAACTCTTGAATCCAAAATCTAACATAATTACACTTGGCAATGTAAGACCTACTGACACATGATATTACACTCTACTGGAAAAACTGTTAATAAATGTTGAAGTATTTTTTCATCATATCCAGTGATTATGGGTGGTTTACATAACCTTGAGGCTCCTATCAGTCATTTCACTGTGTGTTAGCTCAAAATGGGAAAAAGTCTCACGTGGAACAGCCTCATGAATTTACTAATTTTTGCAGATAGTTTTGGTGCAGAGAGAACTAGGAGCCATATCAAGAAACATCTGAGATATCAACCGAAAAAGAGCGGATCGGGGCATGATAATCCTTCATAGTAAATTGCGATGCCTCGGTCAACCAATTTAGCCTCTGTATTTTAATATTTCATTGAAGTGATTTGACAGATAGATACATTGATCCACACCACACTCAGCAGTATTCCAGCTACCTGACAGAGGTCTGGAAATAATCTAGTCTGGACTGAACTGACATTGAGAGAATTGATCGAAGCACTTTTTAAACCTGACCGTCATGCTTTGTTGAATTTTCTTGTACTGACTTACCTGCCAACCCTTCAATAAGTCGTGCACCTTTCCCAAGTCTATCACAGAGTAGTGCTATGTGTTTCTTCACTTTGGTTGTGTCCTGTGGTACAGTGAGTGGGGAAGGGTTCACTGTCTGGTCCTTTGCTGACTTTGCCAGAGCTGTCCGCAGCAGATGCGTCACTGCTGCATCTACCATCTCCTGCCATCCCTGCAAAACCACCCAGAACATATCTTCAGTCTACAACCCTCTGTCACCCCCACAAGATAAAACCACTCAGTACATATTTAATGTACAAAGTCTTGCCACTTGAAATCTAAAGAGACATCAGGGCATAACATAGTGTGAGTGAGAGAGTTTAGTTTATATCGCCACTTTTAGCAATATTACAGCAATATCACGGTGGGGGACACCAAAAATGGGCTTCACACCATAATAACACAGAGGCAAGTCAAGAATGTTTACATAATGGTACTTCTTATCCCTGTAATCCATGCAGGGATCGACAATTTACAACCTAGTGTTCAAGTTAGTGATTGAGTGAACAGGGTTAGAGGCCACTTTCAGTAATTTTCCAATATTTACCATATCACTACAGTGGGGACAAAATTGGGCTGCACACATCGTACCTATGTTAAAATTAAACCTGAGCATTCTTAAAGACAAGCTAATGCTCATTCCAAATAAGCATAACAAGTAACTCACTTATGGATATTCTCAGTTCACAGAACTTAAAGACAGGAGACATCATCTCACCTGTTGTTCGCTATCATTCACTATGGGGGATATTGCTGACTCTAAGACCTGGAATTCATCATCTGTCATGTCTGTCCAGATCTTGATGAGGAAGTTGAGCAAGTGTGTAGCTGAGCTGAGGTTTGTGGCTGCTACCTCCTGGGCCCGTCTGTTCTCCTCCACACCGTCTGCTAAAGCCATGATCTGTACAAAACAATCAGTGAGTGAGTTTCATCTAAATAGTTTGAACAGTATTTCAGTTGTATTAAGGCATCTCAGCTTTAAGCGAGAAAACAAAACAAACATATACATGTAAATGCAGTTCCATGTGTTTACTGCTGTTTTGAACATGTAGGCACTGTGATAAGAGCCAGTGGGAATAAGAGCTTTGCATGGCTGTTCATAAGAGCCAGTGGGAATAAGAGCTTTGCATGGCTGTTTCATCATACAGGGCTCCAGATAATTTTTCATGATCAGTTTTAGAATTATGTTTTCTATTTTCAGTAACCTGGAATTTAATGGAGTATCAGTTCTTAGCGTTTAAGTTTCATAGATGCACCACAACATTGCTACTCTTGTGTAAACAGGTCAATAAAGAATAAAACAATCGTTTTCAGATCCTGTAAATGATTCTAAGACCGTACACCATTGCTCATCTGCTCGTTTTCTAAATTATTTCACCGTTATCGTGCTTATTTTATATAAATGATCTGGAGCCCTATCAATGATCATACTGTTGATCACTGAATTGTCTGGTCCAGATTTGATTATTTACAGACCATGTCATGCTTCTCTCCTACTCCTCTGACAACGAGAAACACTCACCTGTCTGAAAGTCCCCTCCAAGAGAGTGTCCAGGTTCTGTAGTGGTGATGGTGTTTTGTCCTTGAACTTGGTGAGCAGTCTCTTCTGAATCATCCGGAACTGCTGAGCTCTCTGCTCCAGAACCTCCTTACATTTCTCAGCACTCAACCGAAACTAGAAAAATTGATTATGTTAAAGTTCAAGTATGAACCTCTCTGACATCAGTAATGCTAGTGTTTCAAACCAGAATAGTCTGACACTTGACAGGCAAAGAATGTTGCAGCATTAGTTTAATGCTAAGTCAACATAATCACACTAGAGCATGCAAGAACTTTTGGAATTCATTAGGGGTGAAACAGTATACCGTGGTATTAGTAGAACCTCAGTATTTTGCCTTCAGTTTGGTATACCGTAATGCAATCAAAAAAAATTGTATTTTCGGTTTTCGTACTGTCATTTCAATCTAGTCATAAAATGACAGTTTTGTTTATTCAAAATAACAAAGACTAAGTTTTTTTTCTTCCATGTTATGAACCAATGTAAGGTTTGGCTTTTGTTGTTGTTAATTTTGTGCATAATGATTATATCACCGAAACGGACTGAACCCCATGTACCACAATACGTACCGTACTGTGGTAAGAGCATAACGTTTCACCCTTAGAATTCATGTGCGATATTTCTTCCTAACAAGACAGTAAGACAGCTACATGTATGGGCCTCACCTCAAAGTGAACATCCACCAAATTAAAGTACTCCTGAAGCGGCAAAGCTCCATCAAAGAAAACCTTAAAGTCTTTGGCACGATTAAAGTGGTTGCTAAGTCGACCAGCTAACTCCCTCATTGGCAGCCATAGCGCTTCAATTTGGTCACACTGTAATCTGTATCGTTCTGAAATTACCATGCAACAAAATAAATAAAGGCAAAATGTTTGTATCTGATGTTATGGTCATAATACCATTTGTCAGCAAATTTCACTTTAGTTGCAAAACACTGTACTTGCATACAAGAAGACTCAGTCTCATATCCAACACAATGTATAAATCACATGGGCAGAGTAAAATCAATGATTCTTAATAAAAGTGAAATGATCAATCTTATAACAATATCTATTAAAAAGAATTATCCATCTCTTGATGTTGTCATTTATGACCAACTACATTGTCAATATGTGACTGGTTCGAAGACTTTATATGCACTGGGCTCCTTTGACTTCTGAGAGTTGTAAACAGGCTCACATTATTAGCATGGGGTCTGTGTGAATTCACACTTGATGGAGAAATACTGGGCATAAATGCCCCAGAAATATTGATTATGAGTCCCAGAACCCTTCATCATATGTTTACCTGAATACCATTAACATCTTGTAAGGGGTTTGACTTCTGAGCTAAAAAACTGAGAAGACTCACGTGATGTTTTTGAGGCAAGAACAGTAACAACAGGTCCTCCATAGAACTGGAAGCCAAGAGCAGCCCCCTGTCCTCCTGCATTCTCTCCTAGCAGATCTAGAACAGTGCAACAACATATTAATCAAACCCGTGAAGATCCGAGTTAGAATTTATCTTTGGTAACTCATGCTTGTCGTAAGAGGCGACTAAAGGGATCAGGTGGTCAGGCTGGCTGACTTGGTTGACATATGAGACACATCCCAATTGCCTCGATAGATGCTCATGCTGTGAATCACTGGGCTATCTGGCCCAGACTTGATTATTTACAGACTGCCACCATATAGTTGGAATACTGCTGAGTGTGGCATAATCCTTTAACATTTCACTGTTAATCATAAATTATCTGTGAATAATCCCTTTACATTCTTGATAAAGGCTGAAGACTCAAACACATACCACTTAGTTAAAATCCACGAGCACAGCTTGTTGCCAATGAAGGATCATAGTTACTTACATCTTGAATTTGAGATCATAAGCGAGGCATTCAGCTATCTAAGGAAACAACTCTTGACGGCGTTGTCACTGATCAAGTCCACAATAGGCAACAAACGAAGTTATCAGACAACAATAAATACACACATTATTCTGGGACAGACAGATGTGAAACTGTAGCAGTGTCCTGCTTCCTTTTACCCTCAAGCACATACTGGTTGTGAATAAAAAGCTATGGTGCACCATCTCTGTCGCAGAATGATGACTGACCAATATAAAATACAATCATTAAGTTGTGCAAATGTCAACAGAAAATCAGAGTGAGTGAGTTAAAATTTATCGTCACAGCATATTGTGACGAACAGAAAATCAGAACCAAAAATGGGTACAGTATAAGAATCTAACAGTTATTCAGACTGACCTGGGAAAAGTTCATTGAGATTGACAGGTGGCTTGTTGGTGTCTATTGTCAACTTGTGGACAGCAACTTTGACCGGGAACACTGGCTTCACAACCAGGTTGAAGGGCAGCTTCAGCTTAGCTGTGCTGACTCGTGGTGCCCCTGGAGAAGCAGAGGTGGTTGAATCAATGTATAAGAAATGTCACCTCTAACATCTGAGAGAGTCAGTACATCAATCACTCCTCCTATGGATGTGAAATTACAGCCTGAGTTTGAGTTGATTTGGAATCCATGATCAGTTTCAGATTGATGTGACAACTAATTAACAAGTAAATACTGTCACATACACTGTATATAAGTCATATCACAGCATCATGTGGTTAATCTAATCTTTCCAGGCAAACCCAAGGTTACTTAATGAATAATGAACCATGCTGACTTGGCTCAATCTGAATGAAAACATTGTTTTACTTTAAATCCTTCTCAGTTTTAAGAATTAAGGGACTTCATAGGGTTACTTGTATATTTCTCCTACAGTATACAGGGATTCCCCAATTAATATCCACAACATTACAGGGATCAGTTTGAACACCGCTCAGCATTAGCATTGTATTTGTAATGTTTTCTGAGGGCATACAGTCTTTGAATGTGTACATACTCCTCCCACCGTGATTATTAGTTACCATGAAATGCACCCTGCAAGGGTACCCTACCTGAGGCGCTGGTGTATCTGGCTGATACTTCTGCAGAGAGGTTGGCAGGAAGGCCAGCACCTCGCATGAAGAAGGCACAGAAACACTCTGTAGGTTTATTGGGGTCTGCAAGAAAATCAGTGTTATCTTGAAAGCACATTCAGCCAAATGTAATACCCACTTTTCAATTGAATGCCCATTACAAATACTTCACACACGGAAGAAATATTATAGAAATATTATATTTATTCAAAATATAGTTACAATTGTCGTAGGAATTTTAAATGGACATTAAAATGCTTATAAGTGCCCCAAAGAGGAGTCTTATGAAAAAGAATTACAATAGCAATCAGCTAGAATCAGAATCAATTGAATCAGTAAATGCCTTGGCATGTCATCTCATACAATTATGGTGTGCTAGGTTCCTGCTATGATCTTAAATCTAAGAAATATCCATGTTATGTTTACAGGAACACTCACCCACTGAAGGAACTGTGAAAGATGTTTGGTTGGCAGCTAGGGGCCAGTTAGTGTGAATCTGCATTCTAATGTTATCTAAGAGAAGTCGAGATTTCAGCTGGATCTGAGTAACAAAAAATATGATACTGATGACTATCATACATTTGTCTTTAATATAAACAGTTTATATTATTTTATATCTTAAAATGGATGAACTGGTGATATTGCAAGTTGCCTAAGCAAACTTAAGACTATTACTTGTTTCAATTCTTTGAACATTATGTTGTATTCCCTATACTTACTCTTGCTGTTATGGAAGGCACAATGTCTTCATTTTCAATCTCCATCCCTGTCGCCATCTTAAAGTGAGAATAATCAAGAAATGTGTTATAAAACAACCCAACAATGAGTCTGGAAAGTTTGCAGCTGGACAGAAAGTATTTTACAATTTTTATCGCTGTATTTTACAACGTTGATACCTTGAGTATCAAAGCCCTTTTCTCCTTACTGGTGTTGTTATCAATGAAATACAAGTCACACTTGCTGAGTATGAAAGACTTCTTTTCCTTTGTGGTCTTGGTAACAATAAAATACAAATAATATTTGTTCTCTACAAGTGTCTGTATGTCTTCAAATTATCAAGGTTGAATAAGCAGAAAACTAGGTACATGACCCACCATTTGACCTCATCATGCTCAAGGTGCGGTGGGGTTCGATTCTCCACATGGGTACAATGTGTGAAGCCCATTTTTGGTGTCCCCTGCTGTGATATTGCCGAAATATTGCTAAAAGCGGTGTAAAACCCAACTCACTCACTCACTTATCATGCTCAATGGCAAGGTACCCACTTACCGAGGAGTCATCTAAGGCTGGATTTACATGGACGGTTATAGTGAGGTCATCATCTGTCTTCAGGTTTGGCACTATCACTGCAACACACAAATGGTGATTATGTCAACATCATGGTTTTGGTGAGTTTATGCATTTATCTACAGTAGTCATCAATATCACCAGCCACAAAGGTGACTTGTTCCCATTGGAAAGAGGTTATGCATTCTCACAGGTAATTCCCAGAGGCCAGAGATAATTCCCAGAGGATAGAGGATACTTATACCTACAGGATAGAAGTGACTTGTTCCCATTGGAAAGAGGTGATGCATTCTCACAGGTAATTCCCAGAGGCCAGAGGTGACTTTTAATCTTATTGGACAATGGTGAGTAATTCCAGAGGAATGAGGTAGGTAATTCTAACAGAGAAGAAAGTATGTTCCAAGAAGATACGCGCAGACAAAAGTGAGTAATTTTCACAGGAGGTGAGGAAAACTTCTCACCAGATTTATGAGCATTATCTTTGATTTTCTTTTGTAATCTCCTCATCTCTACATCCATGTCGGCATAGTTAATTTCTCTCGCCTCCACTGTGGGAGGGACAAATATTGCAGGATCTGTCCCCAGGTACCCACATTCCAGCCGCCCCGAGTCACTGAGGGACACCACCACACCCTTCAAATCTCTGGAGCAGAGGAAAAAGACAACTTGTCAAGAGCTTTATACCTGAACATATTAGCTCCTGGATGTCAGCTTCTATGCATAAGCATATTTGATGCAATATTATAGTTGATATAGCTATACACATTTTAGAGATTCCTAATATGTCAATGTTGTTTAACTCTGCAGTCAGAAACTTAACCAAACCTGAAGAGGTTTTCAATTCTTCGAAGAGAGTCGTCCTTGGGGTACATATTATGCATTTTCCACGCTGAAAATGTCCTGTGACAGTTGTATCAATGTTTTTTTAATAAAAGATTGTACAATAAATAAACTCTTTTATTTATTATACGGCCCCTACCTCGTGGAGTTACCTCCCGTTACGCATGCGCACCAACTGGGTAATCACCTAGGCCTGTATCATCATTCCTTCTGCTGAATAAATCAGTGAACAGAATTGCGGGGAGGTGGGAGGCGGGAGGCCCTACCCCAAGGACGACTCTCTTCGAAGAATTGAAAACCTCTTCAGGTTTGGTTAATTCTTCTTCATAGAGATCGTCCTTGGGGTACATATTATGCATAACCACAGATTCCCAAAGACCGGAGGCCAGGGAGGAGGGAATTCTGTCCAAGCACATACAAATAGCTATTGTTAATGGAATAATGTAACAGGCAGCCATAACACTCACCTGTCACATGTCCCAGTTTTAAGCTTCGAGAGAGGCATTATGGGAGGGAACTGACAGGGAGGATTGTACTTTCGAGAGCGACCTCAAAGGTTAAGCATAGTAACTTCGCACATGGTGCGAAAATGTAAACAAAGCCCCACCCACCTTGTGTCGATTAGTGAGCACCGTGGGGAATGTCAAAACGCTCACAATTGACCTAAATACTCCGGAGAGGATCGAAATGAGGTTATTTAGCTCCCAATAGCGGATAGGTCAATAAAACTCAGTATTGAACAGCAGCGTCAACAAAACCAATGAACCAAGACTCACTTTCGGTCAGGGTGGCAGGACACTGTCCACTGGAGAGAACAGAGCGGCCAAAGCTTCATACGATTACGGGAATGCGTGTCGAGCTGATAATGCCGAATAAGCGTGCTAGGCGGCTCCAAATAGCGGCAGAGCAGATCTCTTCAATGTGGAGTGCCGATGCAAAAGCTTTTGATCGCGGCTACTGCCCTGACCGAGTGAGCCTTCAACCCCTCAGGGGGAGGCTTGCCCTTAGCCTGATAAGCAGCACAGATACACGAAACTAGCCAGCGAGACAAAGTCTGCTTGCTCGCCCGGCACACCAGCCTTCCTGCCACCGTAACAACAGAACAGCTGGGTACCCGTGCGGATCCCCTGCGTTAGTTTGATATAGACCTTGAGAGTCTTACGGACATCCAATGGGTGAGTGCTCGTTGCAGAGGTCCCGATGTGGAAGGCTGGGTAAGAGTGGGAAGTTCGATAGGAGCTGTCACATGGAAAGCGTGATCGACCTTCGGGTGATGCATTATCCGGAGGCGAATACTGACACGATCAGTGTGAAACACAGTCAGCGCCCGGGTCGGACTGACATAGCATGTAAATCGCCGACCCTACGCCCAGATGTTACCGCCACCAGAAAAATAGCCTTCCAAGTTTACAACTGAATGGAAATAGCCGATAGGTGTGAGAAAGTGGGACCGGACAACCAATCGAGCACAAATTGACAAATCCCAAGGTGGGCTGGTTAGCCTGACAGCAGGTCGAACCCGATCAGCGCCAGCTAATAAGCACTGTATGCGAGGGTGCTGCCCCAGAAGAGCACCATCGACAGGGGTGTGAAAAGTGGAAATAGCGGTGGAGTAGCCCGCGAATGGTCGGCTTAGCCAGGCCTTCTTCCAAGCGGGCTTGCAAAAACTCCAAAACTGCTGCAATCCCCTATCTGAACATTCAGGAATTCCTCGTACTGAACGTTTGTTCACCTTGTGAGTAGAATCTAGGCTGCGCTGGCCTGCGAGCAACCAGTCGCGTCGGTAACAACGCCTTCCTTGTGAGGCTGACTAACATGAGCTTGGTGAACACCCTTTGGGGCAGTGGATGTATGAAGGGGGGCACCCGTGAATTGGTAACCACCCGTCATAAATGAGGGCCGGGTACCTTGAGCGATGGATGTGGACATGCTCCGTTCCTGAGTATTCGATTGGCGTGAGAATGCCGAGGCTGAACAGAAGGAGATCACCGGCGCGGTGTCTCCATCTTGAAGGATGGTACCGAGCATGAATTCAACCTGAGAGAATGGGGACGGAAACCCGTCTTTCTTCGGGGCGAGGAAGTGCGTGGAGTAAAAATCCCGCCTGTTCCTCTCCCGGTGGTATCGGATTGCCTTGTCCAGCAAAGCCTGAACTTCGTGCCAATATGTCCGCTTGCCTGACATGCGGCACTGGAGCGCGGTTATGCCCGGTGAAGAGGGCGGACCTCGCTTCCACAGTGGTAAATGGCCGACACTGGCGGTGGACAGCACCCAAGTGTTGTTTGTCAGCCTTCTCCTCAATAGGAATAGAGAGGCAGCCTCGCCCCACATTGGGTAAGAGCGGTGCCCGAGTAGCAGAAGCTGACTGGGAGTGACACATGGCTGGGTCACAGCCTGATGGGTTAACGGGAGGTCGGGGCAGACCTGCCGAAGGCTAGGAGCTAGCGAAGAGGACTGCTCTTTGCCCTTACCCTTGGCCGGACCCGGTTCCTCCGCCTACCTCTCGGCGAAGCCAGCCAGCGGACTTCGGGTGTAGGCTGCACCCGGGTCGGAGGAAGGTGGAACAGCTGAGGCTGAAGCCACCTGGTGCTCCAACAACCTTAGAGTCCAGGAAGGAGGTAACTGCAGCGGCAGCCTGCTGATGACCATCCCTGGGCCCCAGTGCGGGCGCCAGCTCCCAGGCGGAGGAAGGCGCAACAAGGTCTGCTGTGTAGCTCCCGAGCCCGGGCGATAAACAGCTTCAGCATCCTGACAATCACCGTCGGCGCAGCTGACCAGAGGAGAAAGTGCCTGAACTTCCGATCTGACGGAGTAGCTTGCTTCGCGGAGAAGCGCCTCCAGCATGCCCCTCCGCCTCCAGGGCCGATCTCTGGATCGAGGAGAGGTAGGCCTCATTGACCACGTCACACTGCTGCATAACCGTTCCTAGACCTCCTCGTAGGTCCGGAGGCGCTTGCGCCAGGGGCCAACGCGCAAAGCGGTGGTGTTAACAACCCTTGCCGAGCAGCGAGCTTTCTCCGGAAAGAAGCCGAGCCTCCCCCAAAGGCGACCAGAGTGAAACACAGCACTCATCCACCATCCGAACTGAACAGGGGAATCCTCCCAGCTGGCACCCTCCGGACAAGCTCAGGCAAACCGAAACGGAGGCGAGACCCAGACGGGGATCGACCACGCCCTGGACCAACATCGAAGAATGCGGAGCAGCGTCGTGAAGGTGCCAGGGGCAAAACGCCTTCGCCTGGCGAAGTGCGGAACTCAGAGAGTCCGGCGCCGCTGGCAACCGCTGACTGGGGTAGGAACTGCGGCAATGCGTTGCAGACCTCCCGCAAAGCCGGCGAAAAGCGGAAGACACCCTCCTCAACCTCCCAGTATCCATGGACTCGGCTTCCGAGCCCGAGTCGAGCAAAGGGTCTCCTCGCGAGGACCCGAACCCCAACCCGGTCCCTGACCAGGCACAGAAGAGGAGGAGCAGACAGAGCAGCCCCAGCGTCAGCACCTCGCCAACTTCGCACAGACCCGGTCCCGAGGCGCTGGAGGCAGACCCAGGCAGAACTGGTGCCTCCGCTCTCATGGGGCGGGGCGAGGCGCGGGGACGGAACCCAGGAATCCTCAACGGACCCTGGCCCAACTCGAAGAGGGACTGGGGCTTGAACCCTCCCCTCCTCGGGGCAGCGAATGCGTCTGGATCCACCAGAGGCAAAGCGGATCTACAGACGCCTCAAGGCGAGGGATCGAGCCGGGCTCAGCGATCCCACCCCAGACTCTCCGCCCCCGGCGCCAGAGTGGGCGCAGAAGCTCCCTGCCGGAGCCCTCCAGCTGACTCATGAACGAGGGACTGAGTCCACGTGCTGCTGGAACAACTGAGTTATTAGCGACATATCAAAACCGGCTACTAGGGCTGGGAGAAGGCGACTGGCTACGACTTTTCGCCCCTTACTGCGAGGCTTTTTCGCTTTGGGCGGGGGACCCGGGTCAGTTCCCTCCCGCCTCACGCATTTCTCTGTAAAGAGAAAATCGCCGCCCTCCTCTGGTCAGGGTGGCAGGACACTGTCCACTGGAGAGAACCGAACGGCCAAAGCTCGCCGCGATTACGGGAATGCATATCGAGCCGATAATGCCGTATAAACGTGTTAGCCGGCTCCAAATAGCGGCAGAGCAGATCTCTTCAATGGGGGAGTGCCGATGCAAAAGCGATCGCGGCTACTGCCCTGACCGAAAGTGAGCCTTAAACCCCTCAGGGGGAGGCTTGCCCTTAGCCCGATAAAGCAGCACAGATACCCGCGAAACTAGCCAGCGAGACAAAGTCTGCTTGCTCGCCCGGCACACCAGCCTTCCCGCCACCGTACCAACAGAACAGCTTGGTACCTGTCTACGGATCCCCTCTGCGTTAAGTTTGATATAGACCTTGAGAGTCTTCACGGACATCCAACGGGTGAGTGCTTTCGTTGCAGAGGTCCCCGATGTGGAAGGCTGGGTAAGAGTGGGAAGTTCGATAGGAGCTGTCACATGGAAGCCTGGATCGGCTGGGTACATATCCGAGGAATACTGACACGATCAGTGTGAAACCAGTCAGCCGGGTCGGACGACATAGATGTAAATCAAGATGCTACCGCCACCAGAAAAACAGCCTTCCAACTGAATGGAAATAGCCCGATAGGTGTGAGAAAGTGGGACCGACAACCAATCGGAGCACAATTGACAAACCAAGGTGGGCTGGTTTAAGCCTGACAGCAGGTCGGGTCACGCAGCTAATAAGCACTGGTAATGAGAGGGTGCTGCCCCAGAAGAGCACCATCGACAGGG